AGTCGATGCAATCAGCTGGTTTTCCTTAGATAGAAAACTTTGAATCAATCTGACTGGATGATCTGGTGAACTGGAAAGAGACCTGAGATGACATGATGTGAATTGGAGCTATAGAAATAAACTGTATTTAATTGAATTTAATCCAACTAATACGAAATATCAGAAAACAACCCAAACATTTTTCCAACAAAAGGCTTGGAGAAACCTCATGTCTCCAAATCAGTGCCGCCCCGAGCCTCTTGGGGCCCTAAGCAGATTTTTATTTGTGGGCCCCCTCCCACCAAGCAGAATCACCTAAGCTAGAACATTATTGACACAAATTTCACACTATGTTAGGTTATGTATTAATACAAAATAAATAAATGATACTTAAAATACTTCACTATTTTATTAAAACTTCAGAATACAAACTGTCACAAAACATATCAAATTATTTGCAAATGTGCAACAAATGTGCAATCTTTTAAATAAAATCAAATTAGAAAAACATGAATATAATCAAAAAGTAGGATGTTACAAAAAAAGATACTTAAATAATGAAAGCAAACATAAGAAGAGCAAAGGTTCATTCCTGACAAATGTACAACAATGACCTGAAAATCGTTCTTTCCTGGCTTTTCTGGAGGCAAAGTCACTGATGACATCCTGTTAAAAGGGAGTTTTTCCTCTCCACTGTCGCTACAAGCCGGCTTAGTGTGAGGGATTGCTGAAGAGTCAATAGCCCTTTCTAAATTCACAAGGACGCGAGTACGCACTCGGACTCTGGGAGAACGGGAGCACGCAGCATAAATCTGGATCAATTGGAACGGAGGCTGATGACATCACCACACGCTCTGCTCGTCTGGAGCTGAATTTTACCTCCTGTTATTAATAGTCGCTAGATAATGAATAATTCTGTCTTTTTCATTTAGTGTGGGGAATAATAATGAACACATTCAGATAAACACAAATCAAATTAACATTTTGTCAAATAAACCAAAAAACTCGCCACTCGTTAACTCGTTAGCCCTGGCTGCCGTTAGCCTCAGAGCTCCGCTGGTTGCCACGTTCCCCTCAACTTCGGAAATGTTTTCATCAGTGAATGGGCCGTATAATGAAGCTTAAAGTATAATTTTCTTGCCTTAAATGATCTTAAAACCTACTTTTATTGAACAACAGCAACCGAAAAGAGAACTTTTAACTTAATACTCTGAGCTCTGTGAGCGCTAACCTGGAAGCTGCTGCTGCCGCAGTGCATGCTGGGACAGCTGTCAATCTCAAGAACAGACAAGTCTGCTCTGATGCATGCTGGGTAAAGTGTGAGAACAACCTCTGGGGACTTTGTTCGTTCTCGGTCTGCTGTTCTTGTGAATTGGAACAGTGCTAGGGCTGAGGATGATGACGTTTCACGACGACACAAGTACGTGAGAACGCACAAGTACACATATTGAGAAACAGCCAATGAGTCGATGCAATCAGCTGGTTTTCCTTAGATAGAAAACTTTGAATCAATCTGACTGGATGATCTGGTTGAACTGGAAAGTGACTGCGACTCCACTTAGTCTTTCCAGGGCCATTGATGATCTCAAGTATGTTTTTATCAATTTGAGCTATGAAAAGCTGAGCAGAGGCAACAGTCCCAGGCAGAGTGCAGGCAATCCCTAGAGCGACCCAAAGATTTGGGTAAAGCTCACACATCTCATTTTGTGAGAGGTATGTGAGAAGCTCAGCTAGTTTTCATAGTTTGATCAATAGCCCTGGTCAATCGTTTTTGGGCCCCCGCCCCCCTGCTTGCAAGCAGTTGCTAAGTTTGCTTATGCCTCCGGCCAGCCCTGCTCCAAATACAGACATTTCTTCTATGAAATAAAACTTTATTCTTTCGTATTAATACTGAGCGTCCAGCATGGAATATTAACGGATTCTGGTATCGACCTGCTAGCATATCAGCATTAATCTTAGAGACTTTTCCTCCTCATGTTGTAATGTGGGACATTAGAAAAGACTTAACGGAGTGAAGGATGAAAGTCAACAACAAGAGGAATGAGAACAACTGAACCATCTATTATCAACTGATGGGATACAGATTTTAGATGCAGGCCTGTATCCCTACTGGAACATCCCTACTCTGCTACAGCTGCTTCTGCTCTCTCCAGACCAGTGATTAGAGCTGAAGGTGGAAGCGAAGATGATGCCTGTTTGATTAGAGAACAGAGGTAGAGAATAGAGAATCCTCACCGTCTACTGGGAGAAAACAAATACGATATTTTTACAATCCAGAAGAGAAAAGATTTGGTCAAACTGAAGACTGCATTAAAATTCTTCAGATTAGGTGGATTTAAATGAGCGACTGACATTCAACAGATGATTATGGTAAATGTTGATGTTAACAATCTTAAGGGGTTTATGAATGTAGTAGTGTGGTCGGGAAATTTAGATTTCTCTTATTTCATATATTGATTTATGCTATTTACTCACTATAAAAGTTTTTCACTCAGTCAGTTTCACCTGCAAAGTCACACAATGCCTGAGTGAGGGTGTTTGTAGACAAGACAGACTTCTTCCCATAACTAGAAAGATTCTTTCTCAAGGTTTTTCCATAAGATGTTACTGTTTAACTGTAATTTAAACAATTAATTGTCAGTTTATTGTTTTGATTTTCCATTATTGTGAGTAAGGGGGAACAAACGCGGTCCAGATCAGAACAGGGCTGATTACAATGAAATAATACCATGCCGTATGATGAACTGTTCTCTCTTTGCAAAGATAAAATTAAATTAAATAGAGTTCCTACTGAGTGAAATCCATCTTTTATTTAACTAGAGTAAATAGTTGAAAACTTTTTTCCCCACTACAAGTAGTTATAGGAGTTTATCTACTGCTATATCATCTATATATTTATATATATGGACACTCATGCAAACACAAACTTTGCTATGATGCAGAGATTTCTCAGCATTGCTTTAAACCTGAACCGTTCAGATGTCAATGCTGAGTTCTGGGATTAGATCGCTGCTGCAGTCCATTAGGAAACTTTAAAGTCGCAAAAAAAACGAAAAGGATTTTCCGATTTTCAGTGAGGTCTGGAGTTTGGGAAACTGAAACGCTCTCATGCAGAACTGTTGGCAATGAACACATAGATTATGCACTGAAAAAAGTATCCAAGCATGTCTCCATTAAGTTAATAAGTTATTTTTGTGACTTTTTTAAGTATTAGATGAAAGAAAATCCATATTGTCTAAGATTCTTGGTATAATGAGTGAAGCAGAAAGACTGCAGAGGCTGAGGTATAAATATGTTGTTTTTTTTCTTAAAATGAGTGTATTTCTTTAAATTTGAGCAGTTAAGTGGGACAAATATCCATGGAAATTGTCATGATTTGGTAGTGGATAGATGACCCAAAATGCAGAGGAAGGGAGGCAGAGGGGATTTTCTTGTGGGTTTAATTAAAGGTTAACAGAAAACAGAGGCAGGAAATCCAAAAATCCAAACACAAAAAACTAAGTCCAAACAAACTGAAAACCAGGAGTCCAAATATCCAAAATCCCAAAACATGAAAACAAAGTGAAAACAAACCAGAAACCATGGAGACATCAGGGGAGATTCAACATAGAAGAGGAAGGCTCAGAGACGGAGTTGGAGGAAGTTAGACGAGGACCCAGCAAACAAGAACTGAAGAGGGAGAGCATTTAAAGGAGACTGAGACAAAGAGAAGACTAATGAGCAGATTGGGAACAGGTGAGCACAGGGCAGGAGAGGAAAAGAGCACAGGAAAAAGGAGACCACAAGAGGGCAGCAGAGGGGAACAAATCAAAAACCTAGAAAGCTGAAACAAAAAAGTAAGAATCAGACCACTAAGAAAATAAAACATGGAGCAAAGTAAAACTGAAACCTCAAAAGAAAAACAAAAAAGAGCCAAGACTGAAAGAGTTACTAAGAATAAACCAGAGAACATGGCAAAAGTAAAAATAAAACCACTAAAACTAGAAAACAATTAGTAAAGCAAGACTGAACACTAAAAAGAAAATATAACAGAACCAAAACTGAGATAGTAACTGAGAAAAAACCCAAGGAACACAACAAAAATAAGAATTAAACCATA